ATGTGAGTCCTCATCTGCCCCAGTGGCTAGAGGGTAAGAGTTTATCAAGAGCCCGCTGAGGACCAGGTGCTTTCGAGCACGCTGTCACTGAACTACGCTGACCATCCTTCAAGGCAGCCTCTGCCACCACATTTTTTAAAAATTGAGATACAATTCACATACCACCAAATGTATCATTTTTTAGGGTATAATCAGTGGTTTTTTGTGTAGTCACGAGATTGTGCAATCAACACTACCTAATTCAAAAACATTTCACCATCCTCAAAGAACCCCTGTACCCATTAGCTGTCACGCCCCATCCCCAGACCCCTCCGACCCCAGCTCCTGGAAACCACTAATCTACTATCTGTCCCTGTGGATTTACTATTCCAGACATTTCATATAAAGGGAATCATAAAACATGTGGCCTTTTGTGACTGACCACTTTCATTTAGCATGATGTCCACAAGGTTTATCTGCATCGTAGTATGTATCAGTACCTCATTCCTTTTTGTGGCTGACTAATAGCCTATTGTATGGGTAGACCACATACAATGATTTTATTTAATAAATAAATAAAAGATTTTATTTATTTTTAGAGAGATGGGAAGGGAGGAAGAAAGAGAGAAACATTGATACACCAGAGAAACATTGATCGGTGCCTCTTGCGCACCCCCAGCTGAGGATCCAGCCTGAAACCCAGGCAGGTGCCCTGACCGGGAATCCAACCAGTGACCCCTTGCTTTGCAGGATGATGCCCAACCCACTGAGCCACATCAGTCAGGGCTAGACCACAATTTTTTAATCCATTTTCTGTTGCTGGACATTTGGGTTGTTTCTACTTTGGGGCTATGGTAAATAAATGCCGCTATGAACATTTGTGTACAAGTTTTTGTGTAAACATAAGTTTTCGATTCTCTTGGTGTATATCTAGGTGTGGAACGGTTGGGTGTCTGACATCTCTATGTTTAACCCTTTGAGGAACTGCCCAACTGTCTTCCAAAGTGACTGCATCATTATATGTTCACACCAGCAGTGTATCAGGGCTCAGATTTCTTCACATCCTCTCCAACACTTGCTACTGTCTGCCTTTGATTATAGCCACTGTAGTGGGTGTGAAGTGGCATCTCATTGCGGTTTTGATTTGCATTTCCTTTTTCGCTAATGATGATGTTGAACATCTTTTTCATGTACTTGTTGGCCATTTGTCTCTCTCTTATGGAGAAATGTCTATTCAAATCCTTTGCCCATTTTTGTTTTCTGGGTTGTTTTTTTTTTAAGTATAATTTCCATTTTATTTTTTTCCGGAAGACTTTTCTTCAATCCTTAAGAACTTAGCTCTTTACATGGGCTTTGGTGGAGGTCATGAGGCAGCATCTCAGGTCTATATCAGGGTGGGGGTGTTCGGTCCTCCTGGGCTTCACAAGAGCGATCCCTGACCACCTTGCTGTGAATGGTATAACTCACACAGTAATGTAGTTTCGTGTACAGCTTGGGAAGCACATAGGCATCAAAGACACTCACTTTGGAAATACACCTAAAGGCTGTGGCCTCTACTACGTTTCAAATGACAAACTGCCTAGTGGCCTTGTCCTTGGGCACGCATCAGGTGCAGCTGGTACAGTGAATGGGCTGCACATGGCTGTGGCTTTTTTTGGCAAGAGTATTGTTCCTTATTTTCTTGGTCATCTTGGAAGCAAGGACACAAGAGAGGCTCCTTTGCCCATTTTTGAATTGGGTTGCTCGTCTCTTGGTTGTTAAGTTGTACCACTGTTGTCTTCAGAGTGGAAACAGCCTCAGGAAGGGGGTGTGACTGGATCAAAACCACTGAGCTCACAAGCAGATTGGTCTCTGCCTCCCACCCAGCAGGTCAGGGGCCACTGCCTCTCTACCCAGTGGACAAGTGGAGTGGCCTGCAATTTTGACCCATCCCCAGGCCATACCAGGTTCTGTCCTTGTAGAAGGTGGACCAGGGAGCGGCAGTTCTGAGGAAACAAGCTGGCCCTCTTTCCCTCCCCAAATCACGCGGAATGGGCTGACGTGGCCCAGGAAGAGGGGAGAGCTCGGGTCCTGTGGTCAGGGAGCCTATTTATACTAACTGGGCCGTGTTGCAAGCTTTTCCTGCTGGTGACAGGGACGTCACTGGGCGCTGACCTCACCAGAAACGCTGACGCATCTTTCCTTCATGCTTTGTCAAATGGGCAGTCGGCCTCCTCATCTTGGGGCCACTCAGTATCCTCCTGCCCATCCCTGTCCCCTCCCACCTAGCTCTGGAATCTCCCCCAGCATCCCTACTTCCTGTAGCCCTCCAACCATGCCCTTCTCTTGTAAGCTGTTATGAGCTGAATGGTGTCCCTCTAATTCATGCATTGGTTGAAGTCCAAACCCCTCGTACCTCAGAATGTGAAAGTATCTGGAGATGGGCCTGATTAAGGTAAAATGACGTCATTGGGTGGACCCTAATGCAATATGACTGATGTTCTTATAAGTAAAGGAGATTAGGATGTAGGCACTCACACAGACCGAGGAAGGACCGTGTGAGGACACAGCGAGAAGGTGGCCATCTGCAAACCAAGGAGAGACTGTAGAATGAAATCGACCTCGCTGACACCTTGACCTCGGACTTCTAGCTCCAAGGCTGGGAGAACATATCTTTCTATTATATAAGCCACCTGGGCTATGGGATTCGTGTAGGGCACCCTGAGCAAAACAATAGATGAGCCCTTCCTGCCTTTGGTAGCCCTGGTGCCTGGGGCCTGTGCAGGTGTTCAGAGCCTGGGCTTTCAAATTCGACAGCCCTGGTTTGTTTGAATGCCCTGCTGCTCTTAACTGTGACCATGCATAATGACCTCAGGCAGTGACTTCACATCTCTGGGTCTCAGAGTTTTCTTTAAACTGAGAGACAATTGGTTTCCCTGGACCATGGGGAGGGGAGAATGATGTAAAGCCTCTGCTGTCCCCCAGCAATAGCTGAGAGGGGCTAGAAGCACCCTGACCAGACCTGGCCCCGGAGCAGGCCCTGAGCTTCTCCGAGTTCCGATTTCCTCATTAAAGGGGGCCGAAACACCGGAGGCCAGCCGGCCACTCCCTCTCTCTTGGGGCTGTTGCAAAATGAGATCAGGGATGTGAAATGAAGAAGGACCCTGGCTTGGCATGGGCACAGGAAGCAGCCTTGCGGGGGTAGGCACAGAAATGAGGAATTTAGCGGAAGCAACATTCTCAGGAGGAGAATCCAGAACTGGCCCTCAGGCGATGGTGGGGTGACTGGGCATGGTGCAATGAGTGCCAGGCTGGGGTGCCAGGGAGCAGGTGGGGGCCGAAGGGCCGCCTGCTGGGCCTGGGACTGCGGCTGGTTTTGTTCACTGCTGTAATCTCAGCACCTGGGAGCGGCTGACACAGAGCAGGGCAAATTTATTGAATGAACCAAGTTTTGATGACGGTTGTCTCTACAGAGGAGACACAGGTGGGAGCTGCTTTGGGGGTCAGAACGGATGCCAGAGGTAGAGACGGACAGGAGAGCGTCCAGCCCTGACCCCTTGGGCTTCCCTGGCCCAGGCTCCAGAGGACCAGTGGGAGCAACCAGGCCTCCCTTGCAGTCCCCAGGGGCCCCTGGCTTCCCAGCTTCTGACACCCTCCTCCCTGCCAGGCTCCCGAGGACGCGGGCTGGTGGCCTTCTCCCAGGCCTGGTCAATGTGCCAGCACCTCCAGTCATGGCCTGCAGGCCTGAGCCAGCCCCTCTGCCTCCTTGTTTGCCCTCGCCTGGGCCTCAGTTTACCGCATGGTGAAGTGGCTGGTTGGCTGGTGAGGCCTTGTCTCCAGGGCCCCTTCATTCTGATATTCAGAAGTCTGTGAACCACAGAGGACCAACCCATGATCACTATCTTTCAGAGAAAGTGAAACCTGGTCCCCAACCGTCACCACGGCGACTCCCCCTCCCCGGTTTCCCCTCTGAGCTCATCGCTTCCCCATCTCTTCCACTCCCCACCTCACAACAACCACCCCCTCCCCCACCAGCTAGTACTTGGAATTAGGCTTTCATCTTTCCTTTTTCCTTTAAAGAACTTTTGCCTTTTATGTCCATGACGGCAGCAGCCCTGAGGTGGGCCGGGAAATGGTTTTCTAGACGGGCTTTTTAACGAACTAAGCACCGAATCGGGAAATGCTTTTCAAATCCTCATTTTACAGGTGGGGCCTCTGAGGCCCAGAGAGGTGAGGCAACCTGCCTCGGGTCACGTAGCATGTCAGTGGGCTTGAACCCTTATCTCCTGTTTCTCTTGCTCCAAGCACCTGGTTCTCCCCGAGGACCCTGTCTGTAGAAAAGGCGCCCAGCTGCTGCAATGGGCCTGGGCTGTTTGTGTGGAAGGTGCGCGGTGGGGAGAAGGAGGCAGCCAGGAGCCCCGCTCGGGGTGTGGAGGTCCTGGGGCCAGAACCACAATCTCGGGGCTGCCAGCCTGGGTCTGGCTCTGTGCCCAGAGCCCGGTGGTTTCCGCTCACAGATGTCCCAACAGCCCCGGCAGGAGGGCGGGAAGAGCGCCCAAGGAGGAAGATGTCTTGCTCCCTCAGCCCCAAACCACAGTGGCCCGTGGGGCTGATGGCTCCTGAGCCAAGACTGACCTGCGGGCCATGAAGGGGCCCGACTCGCAGACTTCCCCCTCTGTCCCAGGCATAGCACCTTGCGGATGGCACGGACCCCCTCGCTCCCTGTTCACCCCAGGAAGGCTGAGGCTGCAGTTTGCATCATCCCTGGGCGTGGGGCTGACCTCGAAGAACGAATTCGAAGAAAAGAGGAGGAGGAGCAGGCATGCCACTGTGCCCAGCACCCATTGGCCGCTCGTGGAAACTTTGGTTTTTGGGGTCATGTTCCCAGAAGAAGGCCTGCCCTCCCCCCTCCCCCTCCCCACCCACCTCACGAGGTGTTGGCCAATCGCTCTGGCAGGCCATAAAGTGGCTGTCAGCCCGTAGGACTCCCAGCCTGGAGGTGTCATCTCCAACAGGCGCAGGCCAGAGCTTGGACACCCAGCATGTGGGCACAGCTTATGAGGAGGACGCTGCTCAGTAAGTACTTCCTTCCTCCCCGACCAGCACCCACTTGCCGTGAACCAAGGGTGCCAGCGGGAAGCAGGGGTACCCTCTGTCCTGTGGGAGGTGGGGAGACCAGGCACTGGCCAGAAGGATGCTGAAGTGGAAAGGGAGCCAGGAGCTCAGGCAAAGAGAGGGGTCCACTGGGAACACAGCATCTTCACAGGGCAGAGAAGGGGTATCCCAGGAGGGCTTCCAGGGGAGGCAATGTAAAGGCGGCTCAGGGAGCCAGGGAGTGAGGGGAGGCGACGAGTGAGGAGAGAGGCTGGGGAAGCAGGAGGGAGGCAGGAGTTGTGCTGTGTAGAGGAGGAAGCTGCAGAAGCTGAAGAGAAAAACGGTGCAGTGTCTGGAGGGGCCTCCTTCTTGCCTTGATTTGCAGGGCCTGGGATGAATAGACACGGTCAGCCAGGCCCAGGGGCTCTGGAGCACACATAGCCACACCCACAGGGTGACACACACACAGAGCCATGTGACATCATCCAGAGCCCTCAATCTTACCAACCTGGGAACCCCCACATGCAGCCTGGGATGGAACACAACTGCTTCCTTGAGCCTCACACAGAGCTGGACAGACACCCCGGTCCCACCTGCACATTCAGCAGATACCTGGGGAGGTGGTGAGGGGCGCGCTGTGGTCGCCGTGCCTGGGTGCCCAGCCCCTCCACCCTCCCCAGCAGCGTCTTCCCCAAGGGGCCGGATGGTTCTTAGGAAGCGAACATGGTGTCACTGCCTTCCGGGCCATTGCACCACAGGCCCCTTCCGACCACGTGGCTGCTGGTGGGTGGGGGGAGGCAGATGAGCCATAGCCGTGCCCAGCCCCTCGCCACATTCAGAAAGCCTCGCAGCATCCCTGTGAGCCCGGCAGGAGTGGCCACTTATGGAGAGAGGAAGAAGGCTCAAGGTTGAGGAAGAGCTGGCCTTGTCTAGCTTGGGCAACCCTTCTTCAGCTCCTTGCTTTTCCTGTCAGTAAAACGGGGCCTGTTTCAGGGAGCCGGGGGCCTGTGGCAATAGCTCTCTCTTGGCCTGGAGGTCTCGCAGGCAGCATCCCCAGCTGGGCCGCCCCGGGTCGGCTCCTGAGGCAGGCAGGATTGGCGGGCACAGGAGCCCCGGCCAGGCCCCCAGCGTCCTCTTAAAGGCCTGCTTGGTGAATCGCAGCCGCTGGTTCAGGTGCTGGGCAGTAGCTCCCTGGACAGGTGCCAGAGGCCCCAGCAGGTGCCCCTGTGCACACGAAACGCCCCTCCCACCCTCCATGGCACGTAGGCTAGATGAGGGGCTGCAGGCCCTGAGCGCCCTCCCCTCTGAAGTCTGCCCACCCATGGCTTCCTCACCAAGTCAGGTGACATCCCTTTTTCTGTCCCAGGTCTGATCCTCAGACTCCTGTTCCTGAACCCAGTGGCCGCGGGCAACTGCTCAGGTGATGGCCAGCAGCTCCTCCAGCAGCTCCAGCATCAGGCAGACCTCATGCAAGACACCGGCACGCTCCTGGACCTCTATGTGAGTGCCCAGCCCCTGGTGGCATCAGTCTCAGAGAACTTCAGGGCCAGGGCAGGACTGAGCCCCGGGGAGGATCAGGCCCAACTCTCACTTGCTCAACCCCAACTCACCATGCGGTTGGGGTGGAGAAAACGAGTCTCTCTCTTATTCCAGGACCACGTCAAACATCTAAAGCCTATCCCTAGCCTCCCTAGCCCAGTGGGCCTGGTGTGTGAAGTTCAGCCGCATTACCCCTTTCCTCCGTTCGTCCAGCACGTTTAGTGCACACCTATCACAAGCCTTGTTCTGGGCCCCAGAGATGCAGCAGTGAACAAAGCAGTCTGCCCTCCTAAAGCTCGTGGTCATCTTCCCACTGACACTGCCCACGCCACAGTCACCACCTGTGTGGCCACCCACACCAGGCCCCCTGCGTCCCTCTGGCCGTGCCTGGAGTGACCAGGGAGTCCTCTCCCTTCTCGGGCCTTAGTTTCTGGACCTGTACAGTGGGAAGATTGGGTAGGGGCTGGATGAGGCCAAGCATTTCGAGACTGACCACAGCAGACTTGTCTGTGTGTGTGCTGCAGGCTCCAGAACTCACCCCGATTCTCCTTTCCCCCCAGATCCGCATCCAAGGCCTTGATGTGTCTGGATTGAAAGAGCACTGCCAAGAGCGCCCCGGGGTCTTTCCTAGAGAGGACGTCCTTCAGAAGCTCAGCAGGAGGGACTTCCTGCAGACCCTCAACACGGAGCTTGGCCGGGTCTTACACAGACTGGCCATTCTCCAGCAGGACCTCCCCAAAGTCCTGGAATTGGAGGTGGCGAAGATGTATATGCATGGGGTCAGGAACAACATCCACTGCATGGCCCAATTGCTGCGAGGCTCCCCGAAGACTGATGAACCCACTCTGGCAAACCAGGGGACCTCGCCACCACCCACCCCTGCCTCAGACGCCTTTCAGCGCAAATTGGAGGGTTGCCGGTTCCTGCGTGGCTACCACCGCTTCATGCACTCAGTGGGACGGGTCTTTCGCAAGTGGCGGGAGACCCCGAGCCGGAGGAGCCGGAGACACAGCCCCCGACGGGTCCTGCAGAAGGAGGTTCACAGGATGCAACCCTCCATGAGAGGCAAGAGACTCGTGCCCAGGGGGCAGCTGCCCCGGTAGCCGTAGGGACCCCACAGCAGATGAAGGATCAGATGAAGGATCAGATGAAGGATCAGCAGGTGCTCCTCAGGATGGCGCCGCCCTGGGGTCTCCAGACCTGCTTGCCACCTCTCAGAAGTGCACTTTAAGGGGCGGAGCCAGGTGGGCTCCTCTACCTCCTCCCAGTTCGGGGGATAGATTCAGACCATCATGTCTCCCCAGCCATGAGTTCCCCAGTCCCAGTGGGGTGACTGGGTCAGGCCACGCGGGGCCAACTTTCCATTGATTCAGGGGTCTGATGACACAGGCTGACTCATGGCCAGACTGACTGCCCCCTCTTCCCCCCAACTCTGCTCCCGGAGGTCTGCCGGCCTTTCCTTCTCATGACTTGCAGAGCTGTTGCCCCCAGACTTCCTCCTTTCCATGGTGGCATGGTTCCAAGGGGAGGTCAGGGTCTGAGCTGGCCTCCTATGCCTCATCGCCAGTCTCAGGCCAGACACCTGGACATCTGGGTGACCTCACTTTAGGCAGCTATGACAGGGGCAGTGTGTCATATAAGAAGCACTGATCTGGGAGGTCCAAGGAAAGGGGCTTACGTCCCGCCTTGGCCCCTAACTCACTGTGTGGCCTCAGGCAGGCCACTTTACCTCTCTGGACCTCAATTTTGCCTTTGTGAATCACAGGGGTTGGGGACCGTGTAAAGCCTTCTCTGCCTGTCAGCTGCTGGAACTCCATGACATAGGGTGGAATGCAAAATCTTTCCAGAAATCGGGACATGCTGTGCAAATTGCCAGGGGTGCAGATTGAGCTCTTTGCAGACTTTCCAGGGCCTAGCTCAGTCTTGGGTTCTGGCCGTTGACTGCTCCCCCTGGTGGAGGATCTTGGAATTTTCTCATGCTGAAACCATTGTCCTCTTGAAAGGTTATAGGTCAATTCCTTGTAGGGACAGAATTAATTTATCAATTTTTATCCGTTTTTACCTGTTTTTTTATTTATAAGGCTTATTTATGATGTATATTTAATGTTAATATTGTGCCAACATATATTTAAAACTTGCCTGGTTTCTAAAGCCCATGTGTCTTTCTGTTGCCTTGTGCGAGAGGATTTGGGTGGGGTAGGCTGGCCTCTCGGAGAGGGGATGGTCCCTAGGTGGCAAGGCCAAAGGCGGCCACCACCTGAGCAGCTCCAGCCCTCAGTCTGAGTCCCTGAGGGCTGAAGCTCCTTGCACCATCCAGGAAGGGAAGTCTCATGCACCAGTCGGAGTGTGGGGGTGTCTCAAACACAGACAAAGAGTTTGTTGTGTCTGAACGGGTCTCCCTTGAGATGTCGGAGACTAGGGGTGCCTGGGGTTTGGGAGCACGGGGGGAGGGATGTTGGCTGGAGTGTCTGGCTTGCTCTGGCCCCTGTGGGTGTATGGCTGGGGTATGTGTGCTGATGTGTTTTGCATGAGATGAGCAAGATAATAATAGATCCTGTCTTAGATGTGGCCTGTGACCTGGTTATGTGCTTGAAACTGCTTTCTGAAGGGCTGTAGGAGGTGGAGATTCCATCTGGCCACCAGAAAACTGGGCTGCTTCCCTATGGCCCACCTCAGGAGGGGTACCTATAGGCCGATGGATAATGTGCTAAGGCAGAAGCTACAAAGGAAGGGTTAATTTAATGGAAGCCTATGAATTGATCTGGATCAGTCCCTACCTACTCTTACTTCCTGGGATCGGGGTCAAAGGTAGAAACAGGACTTGATAACTGAAGTAGAGGAGATCCCCATGCGGACTCTCTCCAATAGATTTGATCCACTTGGAAGATGCAAAGACTGAGGCTCGGAGAGTTTGAGTCACCTGCCCACGTCCTCAGAGCTGTTTACTGAGGGCAAACACATTTTGAATTCAGGCCCATTAGATGCCAGAGTCGGAGCATATTCCTGTTACTTCTCAGCCTCTATAACTCTGCTGACAATTTTATGAGCCCCTGAGGGCACAGTGCTCCCAGCTGAGGAGGCAGGTAGACAATAGACAAGCAAAAGTGCAAACAGGTGCATCTGCGATTGGAGTGCAAGCTCAGCAAAAATAAAGCAGCATGATATAATAGTGAGAGAGTCGAGTGATGTGGGTGGTCAGGTGGCATCTGAAAAAGGTGACATCCGCTCTGCAGTCTAAAGGATACGGGTGCCTCCAAGTGGCACAGTTAGGGCAAAGGTTCTGAGCTTTCAAGGATCAGAGTTATCAAAAAGGCCCAGAGAAGAGATCCATCTGGCTCAAGGTCACAGTGCAGGGCTTAGGCCCGAAGTCTCTGCCCCTGACTCCCAACCAGCTGTCTTCCTGAGTAGCAGCCCAAAGTATTCCAGGCTACTTACTAAGTGCCTGGTAGGGGTTCTGCACTGCCCCCCACTGGACTCTCCCTTTTACTCGTGTTCCTTCCACACTGGCCACCTTTGGGCTGCAGAAATGCCCAGGGCTCTGTCCTCCTACACTGCCTCCGCCTATGCTGTTCTCTCTGTCTGGAATGCTGTTCCCATGGTCTGGGCCCAGCAACTTGGTTATTTGTTCTCTCAAAACTGCCCCATCACCAGTATGATGTTTGCATTACCGTCCACTTCCCTCACTAGCCTGAAGCGGCAAAGGAGGAGGCCACATCTGCTTCTCTCTGCTCTGTCGAGCACCCAGCACTGTGTCTGCGCCCAACAGGAGCTCAGTGAAGAGCAAGACAGAAGAGGACCACGAGGAAGTCCAAGTGCTGAGGAGTGTGCCAGGCAGCCTGGCTCAGAGAGGTGCCAGCCCGGTGTTGTCAACAGCAGGCGGCCTCTTCTCTGCCCTGCCCCAGCATGGGGGTAGGGGGCTTTCCTTGGGCTGGGCTGCTGGGAAGCTGTGGGTGGGAGGTGGCAACTGAAAGCCAGGCATGCTCAGGTTCTCGGAGCGGAAGGTGAGGTGGCGCTGCGGTGGGTGTGCTGTTGCCCACGGAGAGGGCAGATGTTGGTCTGCGGAGGAAGAACTGGGAAGCCCAAGGTGGCTGTCTCCCGCCTCTGGCTGGGCCCCTTGCCAGCCCCCGCTTTGTGGATAAGCCCCGGGAGAGGGGTCTGGGGCTGGCTTAGAGCAGCACCCACCCCACAGGAAGCAGGTCAAGGATCTCCTGACTCTGGGGCAGGGGTCTTGGGGGTCTCACCTGTGAGGATTTGTCACCTCCACACTGTCTCTTGATGAGACTACAGTTGCAGGTGTCCCCAAATCGCTGTCTCCAGCCTGGTTCTCTCCAAGCCCAGCTCCACAGACTCAGCGGCCAGGAACATCCATGGGTTCCTCAAAGTCAAAGTCACCCCCAAACTCACACATTTCTGCTTCCTATGTGCCCCCACTGCAGTTCCGGAACCCCAACCCATTCCTGTCTCTTCCTGCAGCCTCTCCTCTCCTCTCCTTGATCACAAAGGCCCCATCTCTGGCACATGCCCTCGTTCCTACCGCCAGCTGGGCCCCGGCTCCCTGGACACGGTCTGTCATCTCACTGCGTCTGCTGTTCACAGGCCTTCGATGACTCCCTCCTGTCTGACTGCCTGTGGCATCACCTCCACGTTCCTCACCGCAGCACGCCAGGCTGACACTGCCAGCTCATCTCAGCACACTCAGCTGGCAGCCCAACAACCCCAGAGCCTGCATTTCCCTTCCCGCAATGGGTCAGCTCAAATGTCCCCTCCTTCCTGACTACCCCATCCAGAGGGCACTGTGGGGCTTCCCTGGGCTGTGGGCAGCTTGCAGGAGGTCACGTCTGGAGTCAGAACGACCCCTCTCTGATCGCCCCTGTCCCCCACAAACAGCACCCACTGCTGTGAGATAGTGGTTCCCATGACCATCTGCGGTGACAGGCAGCTAGGCAGGGCTCTAACAATAGCTTTTGTGTCATAGAGCGTGTTGATCCCCCCCCCCCGCCCCCACAAGACACATTTCCCCTGGAGAGGAGATCCGCCATGAGCCTGCAAATAGCATGTGTTCCCCACGATGGTCTATGTGAAGGGACAAAGTAGCCATGGGCCATGGGTGAGCTGACACAGGCTGGGAAGACGAAGGAGTCCTCATGTGAACCTGCTGCTGAATTCGACTCCCAGCCAGGTTTTCTTTTTCAAGTTTTCAGGGTGGCAGTCACAGACCCTTAGTCAACGCTGCCTGATGGAAACTTCCCCAGGAGAGAGGGCCTGGAGGGCGGGGAAATTGCAGGGGAAAGGCAGGAACGGGGTGCTGGCGCTTACTGCCTGTCTGCAAGGCAGACCCTTGGCCTGCAAGTGGCAGAGCCAGGTCTTCAGCCTCCACGCCTTTTGCTGCCACCAGTTCTAATGTCTTTCCCCCTCTTTCTCGTGGGGTGAGAATTATATAGAATGAGGTTAAGCCCCAGACCCCCTGCCTGTAAGCTGTATAACTTCCCAGGCTGGGCCTCAACTTTCCCCTCTGTACAATGGCCCCACTTGGCCCACCCCGCGGGCTGGAGACAACACACACACACACACACACACACACACAGTGGTATATCTAAACTGTCACAAGCTGTCACTGAGAAGGTGCACAAGCAACATTCTCTTTATCTTCTCTCTCTCATTTTCTCTTTTCTTTGGTTTTCTTTCTTCACAGCTCTTTGTCCCTGTCCCCCTGCATCCTCCACTCCCCCCCGCTCACCAGGCCTGGAACCAGAACTGTCCACGGAACACCTTTCCCACGCTGAGGGAAAGGTCACAGTCCACAGCCAGAGCGGGGAGGCCCTTGGCAAGGCCAGCCCCACTCCCTGCTTCCTGGGGCGTCCCGAGGGCTGGGCTCAGGGAGGGGCGAAGGTCTCCGAGGGAGGGTGTTGGGCAGGTGGGGCCCTGGAGTCTGTGGAGGAGGGCAGACCAGATGGGTCAGGTGGCTCCAGGGTTCTGAGGTGGGTGTCAGGGCAGGGAGTGGTGGCTTGGAATGAGACTGTATCCAGGGGGGTGGCTGCAGCCCTGTGACTCTTCTAGGGACAGGGACAAGGGAGCATGGCCCTGGTGCACACGGCCTGTGGCA